AGGTTATGGAATTAAGAATTTCAGGACATATTTTGAAATTGTAAAACAGTGAGAACAATTAAAATCCAAGGCACAATACAATTTGTATATGGTATAGAGTATTGCCTGTTGGTCTGTTGCTAAACAAACTGTGCTAAAACTTAGTGACCTAAAACGATAAGCTTTTTAATTTTTTCTTTTCTTATGAGTCAGGCAATTCTTGGTTGTGCTCACTCATTCATATGTGTGCAGTCAGCTAGCTACCTAAAGATCAGACTCATCAGGTTAGGGCCTCACAAGTTTGGGGATCAGCTGGCTTTAGCTGGTACAACTCATCTCTGTTCCCTTGGCCTCATCCAGCAGACTAGTCTGGATTTGCTTTAATGGCAAGATCAGTGTTCTAAGAGAGGCTTAGAACTGACACAGTCACTTTCATCACATTACATTGGCCAAAGCAAGTCAGAAAGGCCTGGCCAAATTTAGGAGATAGGGAACTTAGACCCTACTACCTGATGCATTGCAGAAGGTATTGCTATAGAGGGGCCATTATTGGAAGCAGTCAGTTTAATGTAACTATGCTACCCTTGTATAAAATGAGTGAGATAAGAATTTATATTTGAGTTTGCTCATTTGTACAGAGAAAGAATGGAAGGATACACAAAAAACCAATTAAAATGGTTACCTGTACAGTGGTATAGTGACAAAGGCAAGGAATATTTCTTATATTAATTTTCAAACCATATAAATGTATGCTTATACATATTTTTAAAAAACAAACAAACAAAACAAAAATCATCTATCCTTGGCCTCTGCCTCCGAAGATAATTCTCTTTAAAACTTCTCCATTGTTTTTTTAGTTAGGAGTCTGATTTTTTTTTTTTTTTTTTTTTTTGTTAAATGTAGTTTCCCTTAGTCAACCTGTTTGGAATGACCAGGATTCCTGTACTGTGCATCTGAAAGGTCTATATTCAGCTCATTCTTCTCAGTGATGATAATCAGGAGCACTTGACCATATACCTTCTACGCAGAGGTCAGCATATACATCTCAAAGGCCAAATAAAATTATTAATTCTAATAGATTCTTAATCTGATTCAAGCAGATTCTTTATCTGATTTCCCTCACATAATTGCATTTTTATTCTCAAATTTATACCTCTTTTTATTGTTCATTTGCCATCATCAAAGTAACTTTGAAAAACTTTAAAGGAAAAGCAGCTTATTATAATTATTTGAAAATGCTCTCATTTATGGGCAATTTATCATATAGGATTCTCAGAGAGCACATGTCTGGGATTTTTTTTTGTTCATCATTACTTTCTCTTAGAGCTACGGAATAGTTCTACTCTTTAGTTTTATGTTTGATTCTTCAGATTTCTATATGGGGAAAAATAGCATTGCTATCACACAGAGGAAGAACTGTTGATTCCTTTTTTCTCTCTTTTCACAGTTTTCTGTTTTCATGACATCCTTACCATATTGCACAATGGAGAAGTAAAATCATTATTCAGACCAACTTTTCCATGTTCATTTCTCTTCTTTAGTTCGTGTTCTTTTACCTTACATGGTTAGGTGTTGAAACATCAGTTATTTTATAAATGTATGTGGTCATATGTTCAAGTTTTATTTTTTAATCAATATATGTCCAAATATTCAAAATAACCAAAGCACAAATTCATTGATTGACTAAATTATCAGTTACTCTTATTCTTAAAAATCAATGTCTAGAATTGAGTTGAACCTTTATGACAAAACTAAGAATTATTTTTATTTTTCTAGTACTCAGCACTTTTACGTCTCTTTGATAGTCTGAGCAATAATGTTTAATAGCTCAAGACACACATGAGATAAAGGAATTTATTCTCCTTGAATTTTATCTAATGTTCTCTGGAATTAAAAAAAAGCTCAAGATATGATTGGTTCTTTCACTGGATACAGCTAGAATAACATGAACATCAGTTTTATAAATACTCAGAAATCAATTCACTCTTAACAGTGATGGCATAAAGGCATGTCATAGCCACCAAGGAGAGGGTTAAAATGCCTACTTTGAAGTATACCCCTGATCTACCATCTTAGAGGCTGCTGAATTTATCAAGTTGTAAACCATCTGGATAGATCTCTCACACCATGAAGAGTATTCATTCCACCCAGCCTCCAACAAAAATACCATCTTATATTATACTTGGTGCTTTTGCAGCAGTTAATTTTTCAATCATTCCGTGTAACACGTGTGACATTAGATGGATTAATTGTTGATAGTATACCTGTTTACTATGGGAAAAAAAAGTTAATATTAACTTTTATTTACTATGGGAAACAAAAGTTAAAATTAACGTGGGCATGGTCACATGGCCAGTTAAGTGGTAAAGTCAGTGCTTGACACTGGTCTTCATGTTGTCTAATAATCATTACTGTGTATTGAGTACCTTCTTTGTACCTAGGACTAGTCTAAGCATTATTTCTAACTTTAAATCTTCCCTGCCAGGTAGATCTTATTATGTCTTATTTTACATATGTTAAAAATGAGGGCCAGGGCCCTGGCCAGGTAGTTCAGTTCGTTAGAGCATTGACCCCCTATGCCAAGGTTGCAGGTTCGATCTCCCTGTCAGGACACATACAAGAATCAACCAATGAATGTGTAATAAGTGGAACAACAAATCCGTGTGTGTGTGTGTGTCTGTCTGTCTCTTCTCCCCTCCCCTTCCCCTCTCTCAAATTAATAAATAAAAATTAAAAAAGAAAAGAAAATGAGACCCAGAAGGATGAAACAACTTGATAAAATTTATGTAGGCCATTAGTAACAAAATGAGAATTCATACCAAATCTCTCAGTCTCCGTATTCATGCTTTTTCTACTAGACAACATTACTGTTTGAAACATAAGAAGTAACACTAGTGTTGCAGATTTGTAAGTAATGACCTGAACAAGAGATGGGTAGTTTTAATCTATAAACAGTACTCTGGAAGCTAAGTTTTTCCCAGTGTCTAAACTTTTATTTGGTATTTGGTATTACTGAGTGTTCTGCAGTTGGGCTGCCCTGAGTTTTTCATTCTGCCAAGTACTGAATGTTAAAACACATCTCACTGCTAAGCCCTCCTCAGGCCTTTGGCGCCCTTGCTGTAAAGGCAGGTGGTCTGAAGAAAGGCTCCCTCTAGGTTGTTGCACACTATACACAACACATAACAGTGTGAGACAACTGTCAGTTCCTTCCTTCCTTTCTCCCCTCATCCTACAGAAAGCTGGGCCCCAGATGGAGGTGCTGGAAACGTGTCAACTGCTCTCTGAAGGGCATTGAGAAAATACTGTCAAGAAGAAAAAGGCAAACGCAACAGCTCATTAGTCCACCAATCAAAGAGGATGATCATCAATTTTACAAAGAAAATGTCCTGGACACAGAGATGGGGAAGGCTGGCAGAGTGTTGCCCACATGGCTTTTAGAGAGCTGCACATTTTTGTTAGGGAATTTGCAACTGAGGGGCATTGCTGCTTTGATTGATTTTCTGTATTCATTATATCTCTTCCCAAAAATGTGGCAAACTGAAGCATTAAAAATAATATTTGGGTATATTTTCCTCATTAATCTGTGCCCGTGAATGTGTGAAGATATGCCTGCTGCCAGTGTCATAAATGCCCTTGTGTGTATTGTATTTACAATTGTGATCCCACAGAAAGAAGTCTTTGATTTAACATTCTCATTTGAACCTTTGGTGTTTGTTGAATTTATTGGAGAGTAAGTACATGGTACTTAAGTGAAAAGTTTGGAATTATTGAGAGGAAAATAGCTCAACTTAAAGGTGATTATGGTAGCCCTGGCCCTAGTATTAACCAAATGTATAAACAAGTTCCCTTTTAATGTGAAAAAATAACTTTGAAGATATCAGAATATTACTCCTCAGTATCATGTCTTATCCATATTAGCTCAGGCCTAATTCTAACATCAGTAAGTTTAATCTGTCAAATTTCTCTTTCTGGAATTTGTTGCTGTCTAGTGTTATCAAACACTGCTTATGAATTATCCCCATGGGTCAAGTAGCCTGTGCTTAGTTTAGAATCATCTTTACTTTTTATCTCTTTGAACAAATGTTACAAGTGCCATTTATGTGCCTGATGTCAGAGATGTTGAACCCACCTTTTTTCCTACTTAGAGTACTTGATATGTATAAAAATTTAGTATTTCATCATTCCTGGTCATTTATATACAACTAATTATATTTGTTTCCATGCCATGCAGTTGACACCTACTGATCTAGATAGCCAGCCCCCAAATTAGCTTTTCTCCCGCTACTAATTTGATTCATTTATAAAGAGAAATTCAGGAAGAATGCAGATGAGATCATCAGAGTTTATAACCTGCTTTCTTTCTTTCTCAGCCACTATTTTCACTGTTAACTTTCTGGTCTCATCAACCCTTGACCTTGCTGCCGTGTTTTAGTTTTCTAGGATTGCTGTAACAAAGTCCCACAAACTGGGTAGCTTAAAACAACAATCTTCTCTCACAGTTTGGGACCAGTACTCCAAAATCAAGGTATCATCAGGGTTGCTTCCTTCATGGGGCCTCAGAGGAAGAATCTATTCCATACCTCTCCTCCTAGCTTCCAGTGTTGCTGCAATCATTAGCATTCCTTAGCCTGTAGAGGCATCTTTCCAATCTCTGCCTCTGTCGTCACACTGCATCCTCTCTGTGACTGTCTTCACATAGTCTTTCCTTTGTGTATGTGTCTCTTTAAATCTTGTTATAGGGATCTCATTCATATTAGATTTAGAGCCAACCAGATAATCCAGGAAGATCTCCCCCTCTCAAGATCCTTAAGTACATTTACAAAGATCCCTTTTCCAAATAAGGAAGCATTTATGGTTCAAGGGATTAAGAGGTAGATATCTTTCTGGGGGCCACTATTCAGCCTATTAAACTAAGAATTTTCTTCCTAACCCTTTAGGAAAATATATTAGTATTTCAAATTATTGTCACTTTTAAAATAATCTTACAAAACTCTGACATCCATTTCTTTTATTCTCTACAGTTGGTCCTGAGAAAAGGGTACCAGCAATGCCTGGATCGCCTGTGGAAGTGAAGATACAGTCAAGATCCTCACCTCCCACCATGCCACCCCTCCCACCAATAAATTCTGGAGGACCTAGGCCAGTGTCATTTACTCCTACAGCATGTGAGACCTCTTAATTATTTGGGTTTATGGTGTAGAGTGACATTTGTATCTAAGTAACTGACTGCCATTAAGCCTTCTGCATATACTATTCACAGATTTTCAAAATGGCGATAAAAAGATATATATGTCAGAAACGTATATCTGGTTATTTTATAAACTGCTTTTGCCCTCTGAGAAGAGTACTTAGCTAATTTGGGCATTGGCAAATTTAGTGGTCCCAATATTTTTTTCATACTCTTTGTCTGATAAGTAGCAATTTTAATTTCTTTGGCTCTAAAATAATTAAAATTATCATACTGATTTATAGGAATTAAATTTCATAAAGTTACCAAATTACTTCCAAAAGTTTTCCAGGACTGTCATGATAAGTTTCTTTACAAAAAAGAATAATTATTGTATTATTTTGCTAGGGCCGCCATAACAAAATGCCATAGACTAGAGGATAGAAGTCCAAGATTAAGGTGTCAACAAATTTGATTTTTTTTCCTGAGGCCTCTATACTTGGCTTTCAAAAGCCATCTTCTTGCTTTATCCTTCCATGCCCTTTCCTCTGTGCCCATGCATTCATGTTGTTCCTTTCTCTTCTTATAAGGACAATAATCATAATGAATTAAGGGCCTACCCATATGACCTCATTAAACCTTTACAGGTCTTATCTCCAAATATAGTCACATTCTGAGGTACTGAGGGGTAGAACTTCAACATAGGAATTTGTGGGGGACACAGTTCAGTTCATAAGAATTATATTAGCCAATAAATCTAAGGCATTCAACTTTATTAGTCATCAAGGAAATGCAAACTAAAACCCAGTTCAATACCACATATACCCACAAGAATGTTCAAAATGAAAAAAGAATATCAAGTTTTGGTGAATATGTGTGGAGCAACCTGAACACTCATAGATTAAGTATGAGAAAATTGTTTTGGCAGTATCTACTAAAGCTAAATTTCCACAAACCCTGTAACTCAGCAATTTCAATCCTACTTAAATGCTAAAAGAATAAAACAAAAAAAAAATCCCTCAATTTAAAATTAAAAATCTAAAGATACACATACATGCATGCATGCATGCACAAGTCTAGATTTTGAGTTCTGCCTTTCCATGCGTGCTACCTCCATTTCACATTAACCCTTACAGATATTTTACCTCATAAAGCAAAAAAAAAATTGCTATTCGTGGAGTACCAACAGCATGTCAGAGCACTGTACTAGATACTATATGTACTTTCTTACTTAAATACCGTTGCACAAGCACTATTTTTGCTCAAACATTTATTTTCTGTGTTAATTCTTTTAAAGACAAGAGAAGAGAGTCTAAGAGGTAAACTTTAATAAAAGGTTTATTTTTATTTTTCTGAAACATTGAAATGGAGTGAGTGGTAACTGCAGTAGTCTGAGCCAGAGTGAAAGAAATACATTTTCTTATCCTTTTTCCTAAATTATGTTCTCTGTCTCAAATTAATACATCCACAGATATAAGTACTGTCTTGAAATGAAACAGATTTAAACCCAGGCTATCATTCACATTTCAAGATACAGATGATTGGAATATGTATGTATAAATTTAGCTCTTTTTACCTCTATATTTGACTACTTGGGGGAGGATGTGTTTTATTTCAGAAATTGTAATCATGTGCTTTCAGTAAAGAGGCCATGAAAAAGATTGTCTGGGCATCAGGGTGGCTAAAAGCACAATAATGTATTATGTTAATGGGCTGCTTCAGAAAAGGGCAGCTCTCCAGTGGCAATTGACCTTTTTGTGGAACACAAAGAAATGGCAGGCCATTGCAACTAATTTTCTGGATTGCCGAGGTTGAGTGATTGAGCTTTCTTTCCAGTAGCTCTAGTGATCTTTTTTAATGGGAGACACATAAGAGAAATTACCCTTTTTTTCCCCTCAGCCCGTCAGTCCTTTAAGCATTGACTCATATTAAGCAGGATTTTTCTGAACACTTAACATCGTTTGCTGTTGAACAAAGCTAGTGTATATACAGTATATACAGTTTACAAAACTTAACTAATTTTAGTATATACAGATGTATAAGTGTTCATCAAAAAGTATAAAATCTATTAAGACAATGCAAATAAGTATAATTTGGTAAGCAACATAATGGAAGCATGTACAGCACAGAGAAGTATTACTAAATCCCTTAGGGTTTACCAGAATAGGGATCAGCAGAGTCTCAAGGACTCCTTCTTAATACAGGTGTTACCTATATAGGATGAAGAAGAGCTTACAGATCAAATATGAATAAAGGTCAGTCAAGAAGTAGGAGTAGTGATAGTCAAGCAACTGTGACTGGCTTAGAGGAAGAAGGGAAGTGGAAGATTTTTCCTGATTAACAAGTTGGCATTAGGCAAAATATAAGTAAATGACAGTTTTCTGGGACAAAGGTTAAATGATTGGGTTCTTTAAATTTAGCTTAAGTCATGACTTAAAATTTTTCTTATGTTTTTAGACAGTTTGTCTTCTTAGACTTTCAAGCTGGGGTATGAGTAAGTGAGAATCTAGTGACTTTTAGGCACTGGGTAATTTTATTTCACTCTTCAGTGAAGAAGGGAATTTTTACTGAATGCTGCCAAGACTTTAGCTCTAGGATTGTGTTCCAAATTAAAACTAGCAAAAAAATTACTAAGAACAATAGGAAAATAGAAAAACTGGAACTAATCACATATAATTTGTGCAGAAATGTAGAATGGGAGTGTCCCGTATGGTGTCTAGAAAAATACTTTATTGAATGACAGAATTTGGCAGCATAAATCTAGGACTGTCCAGGCAGAGATAAAATTAGTCTGAGGCTTACGAATCTTCTGAATGGTTAATAAGATATATTACTTACTGCAAGAATAAATCACTAAACCAGCCTAGAAAAAACATTTCTCACATAACACAACTCCTTGTTTTCTGGGTATCTTGTTCACATGCTACATTCTAATTGACGGCCTTAGCTTCCTTGAGACTCTATGACTGAGAAGATGTGACATAGAAAGTGAGCATGAGTGTCCTTTCATTGGATATATACATCCTCCCAAACTCATCTAATGTAGTACCTGTTGCAGGAAGTCTTAGAGCTACCTATGCCTGCCATGGCACATGTAGAGTTATGTGCTCTATGAGCACTCTACTCTTCTAACTCTTCTGTGTTACTCTGTTGTTATTTTTTACCTGACAGTCTGTCTTACTTATGTATCAGTCTTTTTGGACAGAAATGGTGTCTTGATAACTCTTTTAACATGTGCTTTACAAAATTGAAGTGAATAAATGAAGGATAATGCAGACAATAAAAATGAATCAAGGATTCTTGTATTTTGCACTTAGAACCTGTCTTTTTGGCTTTTTTTTAGTAAGCAATGGTACCAACCATTCTCCTCCCACCCTGAATGGTGCCCCGTCACCACCACAGAGATTCAGCAATGGCCCTGCCTCTTCCACATCTTCTGCACTAACAAATCAACAATTGCCAGCCACTTGTGGTGCTCGGCAGCTCAGCAAGTTAAAACGCTTCCTCACCACTCTGCAACAGTTTGGCAATGACATCTCACCTGAGATTGGGGAGAAAGTGCGGACTCTTGTTCTTGCACTGGTGGTAAGTACAGCATCACTATCACTCAGTTGCCTGAGTATATGGCTCAGAACTGAAGCCAGCAGAGAAGCTGTATATGTTTCTTCTCACTCCCAACCTTGTACCAATGTGGCAAAATCTACAGACCAGATTAGTTATTAGTATAATTTGTGTAAAACTGCTGATTTGTGGATTTCAACTGAGTATAAAAGTGTTTATCAAAAAAACAAATCTGTGTTTTCCTAATTTTTTCCTTTGGTATTGACTTCATTCCATTAAGCAGCTTTTAAAAAAAAAATTTTTATTTTTAGAGAGAGGGGAGGGGAAAGAGAAAGAGATGGAGAGAAACATTGATCGGTTACCTCTTGCATGCATCCCCACAACCCAGGCATGTGTCCTGACCAGGAATTGAACTGGGGACCTTTAGCTTTGTGGGACGACACCCAACCAACTGAGCCATGCTGGTCAGGGCCATTAAGCAGCTTTGAATATGTCTTAAAATCAGGCCACTAAGGTTCAACCAAATTAATGCCAGGCTTTGTTACTTAATATATTCAGTGCCTAGTGCATTGTTTCCAAGCCAGAGAGGACAGAAGAGGAGCAAGTTTAATTTTCAGAAGAATAATTTGTAAAATTATAGGTTTCATGGTCTAAATAAATAGCATCAAATGGATTATGTTCTTCAACTCCTCATGCAAATACATTTTCTTTAGAGGTTTTGTTTTTGTTTTTTGTTTTTTGCATGCCTCAAATGTTTTATAAAGGTCTTAAAATATGTATTGTCCTGCAACATTTTTGTGCTCAGTATATTTGTGAGATTTATCCAGGTAAATATGTGTAGCACAAGTTGATTTACATTAACTAGTAACTTTATAATATTCTAATTCTATTGTTAGACATTTATGTTGCTTCTAATTTTTTTACTATTAAAACACAGTTGAAATAAACATTCTTATATGTATCTCCTTTGATAAATATTCAAGAGTTTTCATTTAGGATATCTTGTGTTTTTCTTATTAATTGATAGAGTTTTTAAGATACATAGAATTTTAAGGTACTATACAGAGTGTGGTGAATTCATGGTATAAGGGAGTGATTTTCTCACAGGGACAGCAGGATAGGGTTTGACTCTCTGTTTATATACAGGAAATTCTGTCAGTTCCCAATGTCTACAAATCAAATTCTTCAAGATTTACCTCCAGTAAAAGCACCTCATGCTCCTGCATGTTAGCCTCTATATGTAGTAAAGATGAATCACAGTATTAAACTTTCTTTCATGTTGCAGTGCTCAAAGTGTAATCAGGGTCCCCTGGGATTCCCTCAGACTATTAGAAAGTCCAGGAGGTAAAAATTATTTTCATAATCACACTAAGATGTTACTTGCCTTTTAACTCTTATTCTCTCGTGAGTGTACAATGGAATTTTCTAGAGGCTGCGTGATATAGGATGTTGCAACAGATTAAATGCAGAAGCGTCTTGGAGAACACAGCTGTCTCTTATTAAGTTAGATATGAAAGATTTGCAAAACTGTAACAACAGTGCCATTCTCACTACATTTTTGGGGAAAACATAGTTATTTTTTAATGGATAAACAATATTTTTCAGATTGTCAGTTTTAATTTTTGATACAGTTGGTGATTGATAGAGGTAACCCAAATAAATTAGAAGGATTCTGAGACTAAAAAGTTTAAGAACTGCTACCTGAAATGATTCTTGGTGTACTGTGGAAAAAACAACTTTCATACAAAGCAAAATGCAATAAATGATTGTTTAATTATTTGAGATTCAATCTCTCTTGTTTCATATAACTGAAAATTGTTCGTTTTCATTGCTATGTTTTATTGTAGAATATACCACAATTTATACTTTTTATAACCCCATGTTCTGAAATTCACTAGAAGAATTCCCAGGGCCTGGCACATAGTCATGCTCACAACTAAAATTTATTACAGAGGTATAATAAGGATACACAATTGGATCATAAAGGAGAGAGACACAGTTGGAATCTGTAGGAATCTATGTACAGATTTCCTGTGATTGGTCACACAGAGCTTACTGTTACACCAGCAATGAAAATGCAGCAACATGTGTACAGTATTTCTGCCCAGGGAAGCATATTAGGGACTCATTGCCCAAAGTTTTTACTGTGATCTGGACACATAGGCACTCTTTGCCTAGCACTTAGCAGATTGCAGACTCCCAGAAAAAGACCAGTGTTCAGCATAAACCATATTTTTTGCAAAAAATCAGTCTATGCACAGTGAACCACCCTCATCAGGTAAGGAAGTTTTTTGTTTTGAAAAAAAGTGTTTATTAGTCAAATTTTACACTGTTATGGAAAAAATATTACTGGATCTAGACTAATAAAACTGGCCATAAATGTCAAAATGAGTTTGAACTTAATTGGAAGCAAAGCAGATGTCAGAATATTATACCAGTTCCAGCAACAAATTACTTTAAGTAGAGTCTGTGCTTAAAGATAATTTCAATAGTGAAAGAAAAAATAACAGGCCTCATTTGCAAAAAAATTTTTAAAAACCCGTGCATCTTCTTCTAGCTATGAAAGTATATTGTAGATAGAGACAATTGTCTTTATTTATTTATTATTATTATTTTTTTATCCTCACCTGAGGACACGCTTACTGACTTTAGAGAAGGAGGGAGGGAGAGAGAGAGGGAATCATCAGTGTGGGAGAGAAACATTGGTTGGTTGCCTCTCGCACGTCCCCTGACCATTCACGTCCCTACTGGGACCAAAACCCTCAACCTGGGCATGTGCACTGACCGGAAATTGAACCCACAACTTTACTGTCTGTGGGACAACTGAGCCACACCAGCCAGGGTGCCAGTCGTCTCTTTTAAATGGCTATGCTTGGGTTAACTTTCTTTTTTCCATTTAGAAAAAAGTTGGTATCATTAGGAGGTGGTAAAACACAAATAAAATTTACCATCTCAATCATTTTAAAGTATATAATTCAATGGTAAATATATTCATTGTTGTATAACTGTCACTATTGTCTACGTCCAGAACTCTTTTTAAAAATTGATTTCAAAGAGACAGAGGGATACTTACTTGTTTTTCCATTTATTGATGCATTCACTGGTTGAGTCCTGTACGTGCCCTGACAGGGATTGAATCCACAGCCTTGGCTTATTGGGATGAAGCTCTAACCACCTAAGCTACCTGGCCAGAGCCAGAACTCTTTTGGTAAAACTGAAACTATGTCATTAAACAATAAACCCCCATCCCTTCCTCCCCCCAGCTCCTGTTAACCACCATTCTACTTGACCAGTCTGGGTACCTCATATTAGTGGAATCATATAGTATTTGTCTTTTTATGGCTCCCTCCCTCCCTCCCTTCCTTCCTTCCAGATTATTAGAGAACATTTATTTAGAAAGTAACAGATGTAGTAGAAGTGAGCCATCTGGGATGCATGGGCTCAGGAAACAAGGTAAAGAAGCAAAAGAAGGGCCCTTGGAGCTTAGGAAAGAGTAAGGCAAAGGTGTAAGGCACCTGAGGGGAAGGGGAAGGGAAAGGCTCAGATGTGGGCTTGTGCCCCTGAGAGGAGAGTGCCACTGGCTGGTTTATTTCATTTTGCATAATGTCCTCAAGGCTTATGTATGTTGTAGCATGTGTCAGAATTTTCTACCGTTTTATGGCTGAATGATACTCCTTTGTATATATATTCACCACATTTTGCTTATTCATTCATCCATTGCTAGACACTTGAGATGCTTCCACCTTTTTGGTTAGGAAAAGTTTTACATCAGAGTAGGAAGCTCTTTATTAGTATGTTTGTAGATAGCAGCTAATGGTTCAACCTTAGACTTTTTTAATGTTACTCCTTTTAGATCTGCCATGTTAACTCTTTTCTGTACAGAGACTATTACAAATGTTTCTCTGAGCATTCTTATACATGTTACATGTTTATAATCATTGCACCAAACAACAGAATTAGAATTTCATAGTGTATAGTGTATATTTCATAATGTATGCATATATACAAATTTTGTGTATAAAGCCAAATTGTTTTCTCAAATGTGGTATTAACTTATACTCTCACATACTGGTATTTTCATTAAGATCAGTGTCTTAGTCTCTTGTATAGGAACCTAGTCTGTTATAACAGAATTCTGTAGACTGGGTAATTTAGAAACAATCTCTCACAGTTCTAGAGGCTGGTAAGTTCAAGATCAAAGTTCTGGCAGATTCAGTGTCTGGTGAGAGCCCATTTCCTAGTTCATAGACAGCTGTGTTCTCTCTATGTCCTCATAGGGCAGAAGAGGGCAAAGGAGTTCTCAGGGATTCTGTTTATAAGGGCACTAATGACCTAATTTCTCCCCACCTCCAAATACCAACACACTGGGGATTATGTTTTAGTATGTAGTTTGAGGGATCAGTTGGTATTGAAACTGTATATATTTGCTGAAGACTCAGGAAAAGGGTGTGTAAATTTAATACCCGTTTATTATTGTAAAAAAAACACTTAACAAATCAGTTATAGCAGGAACTTCCTTAATTTGATGATAGTTATATATGAAAACCTATAAGCAAGCCTCATGTTTTATAGTGGAATTTTGAAAGCTTTCCCTCTCTGTTAGGAACTATATAAAGATGTCCCTTCCGTTCAGTGTAATCATGAACATTCTAACCTAGCAAATAAGTATAAGGATTTTAGCAAGATAAATAAAACTACCAATATTCATAGATTAAATTATTATCTTATCCATGTTGCATTTCAATTTACCACTCAGTTCTTTTTTTATTTTTGGTTTTGCTACCAGCTTGTTGAAAATTTTTTCTAATACAGAGGAAAAGGAACACCTTTAGATTATGTTTCCCTATTCTAGAAAGCCTTATAAGGCCCTGACCGGAAGCTCACTTGGTTACAGCACTGTCCCTATAAACCAAGGTTGCAGGTTCGATCCCTGGTCAGGGCACATACAGGAAGCAACCAATGAAAGCATAAGTAAGTGGCACAACAAATCAATGTCTCTCCCCCCTATTCCTCTCTTTTGTGAA